AAGACCTATATGCTTAGTATGGGCAAGGGACACATGTCGCTCTAGCTTTCTAGAGGTTAACACAGAAAGAGAAATTTGGTTTAAATATCCACAAAATAAATACATCTGCTCAGAAAATGGTTACACTTTTCCTGATACAAGGACAATCAGAAGTTTTTCTCCAATGTTGTTATAAACAGGACATTATGTAATTTAACAAGCAATGTCTATCACAACTCTTCCTATAAACAATGGAGAATTTTATGGGCTAACTCTTATAGTCGACTTCAATATACCATCAGTTGCTGTTAAATCTTCTCTGACTCACGGACACTCCATGTGTGTCAGAGTAGAACCATGTTCCATAGGGTTTTCAGTGGCGGATTTTCACAAAGTAGATTACCAGGTGTTTCTTCTGAGGTGTCCCTGGACAGACTTGAACCTCCAACATTTAGTTAGCAGCTGAGTGCATTAACCATTTGTATCAACCAAAGGCACTAAGCTTTGGTATAGGTGATGGAACAATGTCACTGTCATGAACTTTGAAGGGTGTGAGATTTTTACAAGTTAGCAATTTTCATGTATGTTGGCAGAAAAGAGACTTCTGAGTCAAAGGCAAAGGGCAATTGATTACTCACAGCAGTGATAGTAGCCTGTCAACATTTATCTTGGTTCTTGGAGCTGCATTTCCCATAGGGCAATGGAAAGAGGAACAGTTGTTACCTATATATATCATGGTTGTATTCCCAGAGAGGAATCCTGCCTTTAGAGAACCTGAATCTTTTATAATGGTAACCAAGCCTACCTTCCTTTTGCCGCAGTGGGAGACATTACTTTATTGTACAGAATAGTAACCAAAGTTCTATCTTCTAAGATAGTTCACTATACAAATATCCTTAAAAAGATACTTTGGAGTACAATGAATCTGTGCCTCCCCTCATGAGATATGCAGGCACATGAGGGACTTGGGGAGAATTTCTCCCAACAACTCTACATTCTAGTAACACAGTCCAGTTTTATCTGGCTTAATCTAAAACTAACCTTTACACTATCTGGAGGAATTGATGAAATTGTCTTTCATTTGGCACTCATTCATCATATACTTCCTGCATTCTTCCATGACCTAGACACTGAGTACAGTGGTAAACAAAACAGACAAGATCCTGCCTTCATAGAACAGAGACAAATGCAACTGTATTTCAATTTTTAAAAAAGAAGTTCTTCCTAAATGTTGCCCTCAACAAGGTTTTTCATGAATATTGGTGACAATTAATTAAATATTCTACTATCTCAATAGGGAGCTCTGGTAGCATAGTGCCTAAGGCACTTGACTGCTAACCAGGAGGCTGGCGGTTCAAACCCACCAGCCACTCCTCGGAAGGAAGGTTGGGCAATCCTACTTCCGTAGTGATAACTGCCTCGGAAACCCAAGGAGGGGTCACTATGAGTCGGGGCGACTCGACGGCAAATAACAACAACAACAACTATCTCAATAAGTATCTCAAACTTTGTATTTATTTCCAAATGAATACAAACATGCTTTAAAAGACATTAAAACCAAGGCGAGGATCAGATTTCACTCATGAAAACTGAGAAACCTAACAGGGATGTGTAAACTACTTCACAGTTACCATCTCTGATGTACTCGTGACTAGAGAGCAATTCTTTCTTCAGAATGACTTAAAATATTTCAATGATTAAGTGACCAAAACCTTTATATTTTTTTCTCCCACATATCAAGGCATTTATAACTCTTCTGGAATATGTTCATTTACTTTTTGTATACCTCTTATTTTGGTTGGGGCTCTGATGTGACAGACTCTTTGTTCATTGAGAAATTAAACTGTCCTCTCTGTCATGGTCCAGTTCTTTAGAATGTTGCCCCTCCCTGTTCTGAGGAGAGTTCCAGTGTTATTCACTGAATACTCATTAGTCCTACTAGCTAAGGTAATGCAACCATCTTTTTCTCAAATAATTGGAGATTGACTTTTATTTATTAGCATCAAGTCAGTTCCAAATTACAAATAATGACTGCTTATGTGGACTGGACTTAGCCCATTAGCCAGGCAGAGGCTGATTCCTGAATTCCATTACCTAACCTGCCTTCTTTTCAATATTTATGCTATTTTTTTCACCTCCCTGAGAAAACCTGTCATATCCTGTTAACACAGTGGCCTCACTCAACTCAGTTGATGGCAGTGGTATTTGGGAACAGAACCAGCTGGATGAGTGTCCAAACTCGTGTTTGAGAGAGCTGCCTATTCAAGTGAAAAATTAGAGATGAAGAAAAGACCTGTTACTTAGTCCAGTCCCATCCTCAGCCAGTGCCAGCATTCCTACTGTGAGAGCTTAGACCAGCCAGCTCTAATGACTTTAACAATGCACCTTTGCACATTTTATTTGGAAGAGGAGGATGTCTCTTAAATTTTTCTTTCTATTATTTGGAGTAAGTTTCTGCCCAGAATTTCCTTTTGTAGGTGTTAATCCATTTTCCTCTTCCTGTTTTGGTACAACTACAGACACTCCATGAACTATGTATTTTCAAAGAGTCAGTATAAATATACAAGCAACATTTAAGGTGCCTTTTGTGAGGAAGAGGAGGACATTAGGTAGTGCCTTATACTGAGTAAGAAATTGTGCTTAGTGAAGTAGAGGTCCAGTTAGAGCACTGGAGACCCTAGGTGAAATGGATTGGTACAATAGCTACAATGATGGACTGGAGCATTCTGGCAATTGTGAGGATAATGCAAGACTGAGCAAGGTTTCATTCTGTTTTACATAAGGTCACCATGTGTCCGAGACCAATTGACAGCAGATAACAACAACAATTAATTCAGTCATTCCAGCAATAGGCCTCTCTTTTGGAGCAATGTGATGTAGCGGGCAGAGAGTACACATGGGCTGTAGAGGTAGATACACCAGGGTTGGAATCATTATTCTAATTAATTGTGGAACTATATTGTTGTTGTCACTATTATTGTTGTGCTCAGTGACTGCCACTTATTAAATGCTTCCTGTGTGCCAGGCACAATAGTAAGTACTTTCCTTAAATCCAGCTAATACATTTGTGAAACTGGCACCCTCATTTCTATTTTTTAAAGTTTAGTAGTTAAGAGGGGACCAAATTGCTAGGGCAAAATTGCTACTTGAAATGCCAGCTTCCTTGCTTCTTAGCACTGTGGCTTTGGGCCTTTCAGTTAACCCCTCAAACCCAGTTCTCTATCTGTTAAATGGAAGTGATGATAATGCCTGCCTCATAGGTTGTTTTGAAGATTAAATGTATTAATACGTAATCTGATAGATCAGTGTCTAGCAGGAAGACACTTAAATTTAATCAATATTGATGATACATGGATAAAGTTTGTTCAAGGGCACGTTACTAATAAGTGGCATCCAAAATTTAAACCCCAGTGAGTTCTAAAAATTCTGTCCACATTATTAACTATTTGAATATCCTGGCTTGGTCGAGATATTTCTTTGAGCCTCAGTTTTTCTTGCTGATAAAATAAGCATAATAAGATATCTCTTGCATGGTCATTGTGAGCATTAAAAGGCAATAACACAATAATACTGTTATAGAGCCTGGTGCAGAGCTAGGGATCAATTAGTAATAATATACTCCTCTCTATATATCTCAGTCTGTAGAATATATGTATGTATATCTGTGTGTGTGTATATATATATATGTATATATGTCAGTATACCACCAGTCATCTGTCAAGTTTGTCGTACTGATGTGGCTTGCATGTTGCCGTGAGGCTGGAGGCTATGCCACTGGTACTTCAAATACCAGTAGAGTCACCCATGGTGGATGGGTTTCAGCTGAGCTTCCAGACTAAGGCACTAGGAAGAAGAATGGGGCATCTACTTCTCAAAAAATTGGCCAGTGAAAACATTACAAACAGCAG